TATATATATATATATCTTCTTAAAGTGTGTCCACGATAATGCTCGAAAGTTTGAAAGGGAAGCCTCATATGCAATTGGCCTACCACATAACAGTTTAAAGAATCTATAGTTGGACATGGTGGTGTGTTTAGCTAGAAAAGTGGGAACGAGGACTATATGTTGACCAAATTGTGGAGCATAAGATGGATCTCATCGCTAGCGAGCACTGGAATAAACATGTGGAGCAACAAGCTTGAACGTGGGATCGATGCAGCCATGGAAGTGATTACTAATAACTTATACATAGTAATCGAGTAGAAGCTACATGGAGTAGCATGCTTTCCCAAGTAGCGGTGGGTCGGTTGTCTGTAGACGAAGCAACTCGAGCCAGACCTCAGAGATGATAGATACTACCTCCGGTCCTAAGAAGTTATATAGACGAAGCTACACTACATATATAATGATGTAGATCTTCTTCTACCTATAACTACACGAAGATAAAATTGCCGGACTCGGCTCAGGAATGGAGAAGACTCCGAACGATCTCGGCCTCAGCACTGTTCATGTCCATGGTTGCTATCAGCTCTGAGAGGCGGCCGCTGAGGTCATCGATCTCCCGGTGGAGGCTCTTGATGTAGTTGCATGTCTCCTTCAGTAGCTTTGCAGCTGAAGCCTGCACATCACGCGCGCGCGTGCAAAAGTCTCAACTTGTATTGTACAACACGTCGGGAGTTTGAGAATATAGCGTGCTGTGCGAACATCGTTTTCAGTAAGCTTACTCTGCGTTCGCTGCGGCGGCGGCGGGTCTCGGGGAGAAGAGATTGGAGCTTGGACATGAGCTCCTTGAGCTCCTCCTCTGAGATCCTGGACCTTGTACCGGACATCGTGCCCTCTAACGCCTGCAGATGGAGAGCAAAGGCACAAGTGAGAAGCAAGGCGAGAGAGAAAAGAAGGGAGAGGATGATGACTTTATAGATTGGAGGCAAGAGATAGATACATACTGCAGTGTGAAATAGAGCTGAAGAACTCTTTACCGAGGACTCCTCCGACGTGGAAAACAAACTCCACCCACGTCACCGACAAGGCGTGGGTCATCATCAGGCCATGAAGACGCTCATGTGACGTGTGCTGAGAGGCACAAATAGCAGTACAGTTTCCATGTCTGTTCCAATCCAATCCACCTTTCCTCTGAGGTTAGGGTGAAAGGAGGAGTAGTTTTCTAACATGTCCAGCTCCTGTGGTCCTACGAATTAACTAAGGTGTCAGGGAGCATGTAACATTACAAGCCCACTCGAGATGGCTCACCATGTGATGAATTCTGTGTAGGCGCGGCCACATGGGGCGTCGTACCTCCCTCCCTCTTCCGTCGCACATTCCAATGGGTGCTCGCTCAGTCACATGTGATCGCAGAGAGACATGACTAGTGGAGTAGATATGAAGATGGTGAGATCAGATCAGAGAAGGCTTGTGATTTAGCAGCGTACGCTGTTTGGGCAGCCCACCACATGCGTGTACTCTTGCCAATTACATCCATACGATGCCTGTACGCTTGAACAGATACTTGCACCAGATGGAAAGGGATTTACTACGTGGTACAACCCGGATGTTTGTTCTTGGAACTTGATAGTGTTGGAGCCTTTTCTTTCTCACCATGTTAGTAAATCCTGTGTGTGTGGTGTGTGAATGAGGGGCTACAGAGAGGTTAGTAATCGTACACCATGACGGGTGAAGAGATGGAGAATAGCGGATGATAAAAACGATTGTTTGGCAGGAGCGAAAGCGATGGCAGAAGAGAGGGAGTAATGGCGCAGCTGAGCACACCAAAGTGGATGTCTCCGCCGGACGTGATTGCAAGGGTGGTGGAGCGTAATTGCATGTATGGTCTGCTCCCTCCTTGATCTCACCCACATGTGGCCGTGTCTCGCGGTTGCGTTAATTATAAACTGCATGCAGGCATGCATTCAGCAGCGAGGACGATGAACAAAAGGGAGAGAGAGAGAGAAGGCTTTCACCCCCATCGACGAATACGGTAGAAAGCTTCCGACTGACTGACACCGGTAGTCACAGTAGGTTAGGTCAGCTCAGGTAACATTCCAAAGGATAAAGAAATGAGAAGCTATTTGATATAAAGAAAACTCGGATTTGACATAATCTTGTTTTGAATAAGCTAAAATTAGTTTTAAAATGAATCTTTGTATTTTTGAAATGTTTTTTAAGCTTAAAATGACTAATTTACACTATATGTTTAATATATTCTATCATAAAAAATATTATAAATATTTCAACCTTATATTATTACTATGGTTTAATCATTATGAAGTGGTTAGGTGATGAGCATTTGATTTACATGTTTAATTTGGATGGGTAGAATAAAACACTATCTCTATGATGTGTATAATAGAGGTTAAAGTCCAACCTTGAGAATTCCAAGTCCTGCTTGAGAGAGATTTTGAAGGAATCAGATACTAATTTCTGAGATGGGTATGCAAGCTTTAGTATAGCACTAAATGGACAGAAATCAAGAGAGCAACAATAAGAACTTATAAGGTCTTGTAAGTCCATAAAACTTTGGTGTCGTAAGAGAGTTCATTAAATATCTCTTCAGTTGAGGTTTATGAGTCTCTGATTGGATAATGGTCAAATTGGATTATTGTCGTCGTTATTGTCATCTCTTAGTTTATTGTTTGTTGTCTGCATTGAATAATGAGTCCTCAAATGACAATTAAATGTGTTGGCTAGTGAATAAGATATTAATGCATATGTAAATCATAATGTATCATATAAGAATTGGGTTTGGTTAAACTCGATCGAATTCAACTCCAAAGTGAGTCCAAGATTTCATCCATTTCCTTGCTTCGTGCATATTGATGAGTTGACCTCATGCATTTGAATGGCTAATGTATTTATCAAATAAATAAAAAATTATATAAAAAATAATCATATCTTTCGACTGGGTATTTGCATTTGTAATTCAAAAAAACTCTTTAAAACTTACTAAGGATAGACCCAAAATCTAAATTGATATTCCTTTTAATCTCAAGCCTACCTTCATTATCATCGATAGTAATTCAAGAGGAATAGGGAGATGGATCCATCAGCATGACTCCTCACACTGATTCCTCCCTTGTGATGGATCCTCCTTTCTCCTCTCCAACGATATTTTCCCCCTCTGCTAGTCATGTTGACCCTCTACCCACCTAGGTCTATAGTCTCATCTCCTCCCTCCCCTTGGGTGAGCCTTTTCAAGAAGGTGAGTGAGGCAGGTGAGAGGCTCGCTAATGCTACCATAGGTGAGTAGCTTGGGAGAATCCATCATAGGTTTGACCTACATGTTGAGCTCGATGTCAAGGAGATCACTCAATCTTACGAGGAATGACAAATAAGCCTTTATAATATTTCTTAGTAAGATTTCCTCACTGGAACTTCTCAAATCCCTGTTCCTTTAGTCTACATATTCTAAACTTAGCCCTCCATGGTTTCCAAGGTATTTCGATTCATGTAGGTAGCACCCATTTCTTTCAAACCATTGCTTGTGAAAATCTTCCCAACATTTGTTTCAAATATGGGTAGGTCAATTATTGCACTTCCAATTGTGATCTTTTATCTCATCCTCAATCTTCATAGCCATCATTAGAGTAACCTAAGGTTATTCCATAGTCTATTTAGGAAGATGACGACTCACTATATGGGTCGTGGGTCTAGGTCCAAAGGAGACCTTGGCCCAAACCCACTAGACCTCCTCTTGGTAACCTAGACAAGGGCAAATGGGTTGCCTATGAGTATCCTTCATCTGATCCATTATCTCAACTGAATCTTTGGGTTTAACGTAGCCAGGTTCTACTGTAATGTCTCATACCCAATATTAAGTGAATAGCCCAAAATAAAACCCTAGTCTTGATAAGGACTCTCTCTCAAGGCTAATACTTTTTTGCCCTAGTTATTTTGAGAACTCCCTCTTGAAGCCAACATATTTTTGCTATAGCCATTTGGACCTTCTAGCTAATTATTCTCTACCTTTTTTAGCCTCCATTTGACTGGTGAGCTAGAATCTCGTTGGGTACTAGGCTAACAATAATTTACCGTCATCTTCTCTAGATTCCTAGCATACCACGGGTGCTAAGGGTTGGTCTCAGTATAACAAACACTACTCCCCTCAGTCAAATTTCTTACTCATCTCTATCTCAAATCCCTTCGCCCCATTGGACCTTCTCAATGCTCTAGTCACTTTCGTCTCCTCCCTCTTATCACAAGGTGGTTTCTAGTTCTCTACTTAGGCTATCATATCGGAGTATAACAATTCCTATTCCTATTTCTTTACTCCTCTAGCTTTCGATGGAGTATTATTTATGCTATTATTTATGCTAGTATTATTTACGTAAATACTTATGGGATGAAGATACACCCCCCCGAGTGTTCATGCTCTTCTTTACGGCCAATCTTTAGTCATTCACCTTCATACACTATGGTGGTTGTAGGATGCTCTTCATGCAAAGCTCAAAATCCATTATTGGCCGAAGCCTTGGCGGTCCTAGAAACATTGAAGCATGCTATACAGCTATAGTACAGCAAGCTATGGCTCCAAACAGACTCTTCAAACTCTCATCTCTATTATCAATGGTTTCAATGCTTCTCCTTAGTACCTAAAGACTATTATTTCCAGACATCAAGTTTCCGATGTCTAACTTCCAAGTGTTCATGCTCAGTTTTGTATCTAGAATAGTGAACTGCATAGCACATTAGTTAGTTTTCCTGGGAAGAACCTCTGGCTGATTTGGGTCTTTTGTCCGGTCTCATTGCTATGATTTTTCTGAATTCAATAAAATGTAAAAAAATTCGCATCAGTAGATACTTTCGCACTTGATTAGGGATAGCTATTTGGAATCCAAATTTGTCTGATGATGTAATGAGCAGTGATAAGACATATTTTGGACTCCAGCTACGTCACCACCCACGCCTCTGTCACATCAGCACAAGGGAGAACTTTCACGCGCCAAGACAGAAGTCCATACCAGAGGCACCCCTTGGCAAGTCCTGTCCCAGAAAGCTTGGGACGACACCGTCTGGCGCCGTTTCGTGCGTTTCGGGCGGTGGCCGCACAAAGGTACCAACTCGTTACTCGAGGATCGATCGTCACGCTAAACCCAAGTATGACTGATCCTTGCATAGTAGTATAAAAGCCCATGACCGGCATCTAGCTAGGGGAGAAAAAAAGAAGGAACAGAGAATCAGACAATGACTAACTTAAGCTACGAGAGGCCAAATTTAGGAATCCCCTGACGAGGGCCTTCTGTGTGGGAACTCAGTCGCACCCGGAAGACGGTCTCGGTGCCCTGACCGAGAGAGGACTTCCCACCGGCGGAGTCAACGCCCCGACCGAGAGAGGTCTTCCCATCGATGAAGTCAGCGTCCCGATCGAGCGACGTCTTCCTCCGGCAATATCCGCATCCCGACTTCCTTTTACAGTCGGATTCGACACTTCCTCCAACCGATCATGAACTCCCGACATCGATCCGTGGACCAAGCCATACTGACTCATAGTATAATTCTCAAACCAAAGACAAATATATCTCCTGCACCTTGTGATGACAAATCTTGAAGATTGATCTGAATGGGCAACCATCCACCCACCAGATTAATTTTCAGGGATTTGCTTGAGCTAAAGTCTATCTGTAATATAAAAAAATAATATTTGGAATGCTTTATGTAAGCTACCTATTCCATCAAGAGTATGTTATAGATTGCAAACTTCAGCTAGATTAATTTATCTTGACTTGCTTAAAGATCATGTAGTTTTTCACATTTACTGATATGAAAATTAAAATTACTAGTGTTTGAAGGATTGACTCACCTTTGGAATTGATTTTTTTTTTTGTGAGCATAATTTGGTTTGTAATAGGTAGCTAAATTAATATAATTTTATTTTCTTAAGAAGAAATTGGAGCTCTCAAGGTTTCATTCACTTCGTCGAGTTTCTAACACCACCAAATTGCACATTTCGATGTCACTACAAACATAGCACATTATCGGAACTAAAACTTTTGTTGACATTAACAACTTTGTGTTGTCAAGAACATAAGATAGTATATGTGACGAAATGTCGGCGAAAAGAACTGCGTTAAATTCTGATTTACGGGCTTATCCAATGGAGCCTGAGTGGTGACGGATTGGATTATTGTGATGTTTGGATTAGTTAACTCTCCCAAGATATGATGTGTCATGTAACACATTATGGAATCAGATATTGAGAGGGTAGATCAGAGATGCTTGTCCCAAGGAAAGCTCTCTAAGATTTGACCTTCCTAGGATTCACTCTATTTCAAACATGCTGACAGAAAGATACTGCAAGATTGAAATATTATATACCCTTTTACTTTAAGTGGTTGGACTTTGGCAGATCATTTATTTTACGTCGGATGTGTCATTGCATGCATGTCTGCCTCCACCGCAAAAGATTGATAATTGCTAAGTTGGGGTTCACTGTCATTAAAGCACACTTTGATCTTCTTCACTCAAGAGACTGAGATAACCTAACCTATTTTCATGATGTGTTGCGACAGTGAAACATCGATAACAAATCAAAATATCTGCTGCTAGAAACAAGTTTGAAGACCCATAATCAAAGATAGTTTTGGAGTAGGAAGAAGTCTTTCGGGATAAGAAGCTCATGTCAGAGAGTATGAGATCATCTTCTCAATCGACAATCCGATGAGACCGAGCAAGTATATCAAAAGTACACAGCTTCGGTTGTCATGATATGGGCTGGTTTAATATTTCGGTGACTAGGGTTAGATCGACTGTTGTTAAACTGCAAATGGATGAAGAAGCAATGAGGTCGATGGAAAACAAGTCTGCATCATTCATTCAATGTTCATGTCTGCGTGCATGTTGCTACTTGATTGGCGTTGTCGACGGCCGGACAACCTAATTATCCTTTGATAGGCATAGACACGAGAACATAGTCCAAAGTCTGTCTTTGTATGGTAATACAAACTTCTCCACGATCGAGTAATAACGGATGATTCTATACAATTGTCTCATATATTAACCTCTCAATTAACTCGAATGTTACTTGAACTCGTTATAAAAGGGCTATAGGTGAGCTCTTACTTCTTTTTGGAACAACTTAAGTTGGCTACATATTTCTACTTTCCAAATTCTCCGACTCTACTAATTTAAGTATTATAAAGGCTTTTGTCTGATATGCTTCGATATAGTTTTTGCAAGACTCTTCATCGAATATCCTAGTCTCCCAACATTAGATTTATATTAAATCTAAACCCTAGTTAGTTCTGAACCCTCGAACGCGCTAAACAACTATGATGTATTGTAATACTATTAAATCTCAATGGGGGACCTATACCGAAGACTCGATGTCCCATACATTAGGAGTGAACTTTTAAAATGATATATTTAAAATATATTTTTTACATGTCATTCTAGTTAACATCCAATCAATAAATTCAAGATAACTACTATTAATCATGAACATTAATAAATTCAAATAAATTTTTAGCTGCATAAGCTATTCCTCATTATTTTATTTTCACCAATTATTTATCCTCTCACATCTTCCATTTGTTTTGACGGATATCAATATCAATTGATCAATTATGTACGTAGATAAACTATAATGATATTTAGAGAAGCAAATAGGACATCATCAACTTTGGAGGGTATACATAATATATGTATATATGTAACTTTATCTGAATCATGTCGGAGTTGTGGTTGGTCAACTCTGGAGTCGCTCATTGGGACCAATCAAAGTTGTGGCATGTCAAGCGTGCAAAATAAAAAAAAGGAAAATAGAATGGCCAATCAAAGTTGTGGTTAGGCAATGCAGGCGTCATTCTTTCGAGCTAATACTTTGAGCACCACATGACCGTACTACGATCTATCATCCACAGAACTTTTCAATGGGAAATCAACCTATGAAAAAAATGATGTCAACATCTTTTCCCTTACGCCTTGCAAGGAATGGAATAACCTTTGCCTTCAAGCTATTAGAGTATAGAAGAGATTGAATTCTGCTATTGAGGATGAACTAACGTATTAGGTAGATGAGTCACCAAATTTGTTCTTGAACCTTTGGACTTTTGCTATTATTGATAAATATATGGATGTTAGATTAGGTGATTCTTGATGATTTGCATTTTAAATTGTAGCCAATCGCCTGTTTGATATGATTTGCATTTTAAATCACTGATTAATCTCAGAAAGCATTGTGGAATCTTAAGAACAGCAAGAATATTTTGATCCCTTTTGTTTTTCGATCTCGATTTAGTCAGACATAGAATTAAAAGTCATAATAATTATCTAGAAGGATAAATGATTGGCTACTTAGCAATCGACACAATCGAATCAAATTGATATGAATTAGGTTAATATATCATAACTAGTGTTAGATACATCAATTTAATCTATTAAAATATAAGCTAAAGTCAATATATGTCATCCAATCCTATCAATATTAATCTATTTTTACGCATGAATATTTTTTAATAATTAGTGATTAAAATAAGTATTGGGTCAAAAATGAGAACATGATGGAACTATTGGTTCCTAAGTGACGCAGCCCTCACTGTGGGTTAGGTTAACGGGTGATGATAGAAACTAGGCAAGGCGGAAGCTTACGCTTGCGAAGGACTTCTTCAGCCGACTGCATGCAAAAAGGAGACGTAGGTTTACCACTCACTGTCACCCTTCACATGGGGTTCATCCGAGATGGAAGCAATCGGTCACCTCGTTAATGGAAAAGGTCAGACCAGATGACACCCCTCGCCAGAAGATGAACAGTGAAACTGGCAGGAGCAGAAGTCCCTTCCCCATGACCGACGTCATGCTGAGCTCCCCGCTACGAAATAATTAGCATGCAGGTTTATAAAAATGGCCGACCCTTTGTCCAGCATCATCGAGTCCTGTAGCTCCCTCTATAAGTACTTGCCCAGCCCAAGAAGAACGCAAAGCATAAACTGAGCTGCTGGACTTGTTTGGAGATTGGAGATGGCTTCTTCCCATGTAAGGCCTAACAACTCCAACGAAATCCATGACATAGACGTCGTCACAGCTCAAACGTTGACCACCCCAAGCTTCTTCGACCCCCCCAGAGTCCATCGTCGGAGAAATTTGAAGGAACTCTTTCCACCATTTCTTCCCAGAAAGGTGAGGTATTGAGTTCACCGTTGCATCTTTGGCTTCTATTGTCCATGCTACGCATCACACATATGCATGATTGTAGGTTGTGTCTGAGATGATAGCTACATTTTTACTTGTGTTCGTGACCTGCGGAGCTGGTGCGTTAAACAAGAACAACCCGGGCGTGGTGTCGCAATTAGGGCAATCGGTCGCCGGTGGCTTGATCGTCACTGTGATGATCTATGCGGTTGGCCATATTTCCGGGGCGCACATGAACCCCGCAGTCACGTTAGCCTTCGCCGTGGCCCGGCATTTCCCATGGATACAGGTGAATCATTTCTTTCTCACTGTATTAGGAACCTCGACAACAAAAATAAAAACCTTTTCCGATCAAAAGACAGCTTATGTATCCCTTACCTGCAAATTATATACGCTTTACAAAATGAGAACTTCTCGCTATACATGATAATATCACTCCAAGGGTGTTTCTGATATGATCTCAAACATATTAGCTATACATGCAAACCACAATGCACATATTGTCGCAGGGGTGGCAGATGCTGATTTCATTTCTTGAAAGCCTTGAAGGTGTTGTGTAAAATAGCATACTTCTCATGTCATGCGGAAGTAAAATAACAATATATGATGAACCACACCTATACTCGCTTTAAAAATTTCCTTTCAGTGCTTTGTTTGATGTCACAAGTTTTGACATATTTGTTCTAACTCCATATGTCGACATGATCACCTCCAAATTAGTCAAGTCGTCAAAAGATTCTAATATCTATGATGTGCGTAGGTTTATCTTGTATCAATTACTATATTAATCTTCCTATACGATTATATAATGAAGTCATAGCTGGGCTAAGTAGGACGTCAAATCAGAGAAAAAGACCCTTTGGTATCGATCTATAAAACAAAATATCTACCAACTTTAGAGAGTTGAACCTGCTGAATAATGTTATCCTGAGCTTCGCCAATAAAACTTATTTCATGTAATGGATCCCAGTTTTGCATTATACTATGAAACCATACTATCAACTCTAGTGTAGGTCGTTGAAACTAATCAACGATATCATGCTAAGATTCGCCAATAACTTGTTTTTGTTATTTCTTTAGATGCATAAACATATAATAGGACACATATAAGTTAAACTCTGACATGCGAAAGATGGTGGTAGATTCTCTAATGAGTTGAAGGATATAGATGAGAAGACGTTCTTTATTGCTGTTCTTGTCCGTGAGATGTCATGTCCAACTAAACAATCTCGTTTCCCCTCTGTACATGAACGCATGAATTAAGGCCTACTGGGGAGCGGATACCTTTATCAATAGTTCTCTGGTTGCATCATTCTATGGAACAGTCAACTGATGCAACTTGAGGTGGTCGAAAATAGTTTGATGAGTTGTATGTTGCAATAATGGAGCATGGTGGAACAGTTGGCAGCTCCAATTAGTGACAGATAGAATTAAAGTAAGAAGGAAATCGAAGGCTTTGTTGATTCATCTTCCTCAATTCTTCCAGCAAAACCTTGCACAACAGTAACTCTGACCATGAGAACAGAAGCGTCCAAAATAGGCGTGATTAGGAAGAGACAGTGAAAAATAGGAACTATTCCTAGTAAATTCTTGATATTATTCATTCTTTATTTGCATTGCAACCCTTGCAGAAGGAACAGACCAATCTGAAGTTAAATATAATTCTTTGGTCGTCTCTTCGAGCAGTAAGTCACTTATTAGAGCTTTCTTTGCTTCTATCTTCACTTGCAGGTGCCCTTCTATATGTTAGCTCAGATAGCAGGGTCTACGACCGCCTCGTACATCCTACGTGAGCTGCTCGATCCCATTCATGATCTAGGGACGACGACGCCGTCTCACACTGCCGCGAAAGCCTTGGTGGCGGAGATCGTAGTGACCTTTAACATGATGTTCGTGACCGCGGCGGTAGCGACGGACACAAAAGCCGTAAGTCCCTCTATATAGTTTCCTCATTCTCGTTAGCAGTTCAGTGTTCGTCCTTCTTACGTGTGCCCTTGGATGATCTCTTGAACACATTTCCTTTGCTCAACCACAGGTAGGAGAGTTAGCAGGCCTCGCAGTTGGCTCAGCAGTTTGCATCACCTCCATCTTAGCGGGGTAAATTAAGATATCTAATTTTCATATACAATTTCATTAGAAGCAGCAGCGATTATGTAAGCCGTGAAATTTCTAGGATTAGAGAAGTATAGGCTTTTAAGATAGCCAAAATATATGGTAATGACACATAATCGAGAAGGTATCTCTACACTTGCAGGCCCATCTCGGGAGGGTCAATGAATCCAGCAAGGACGCTGGGACCGGCGTTGGCAAGCAACAAGTTTGACTCGCTGTGGGTGTACTTCGTTGGCCCGCCCGTGGGCACAGTAGCAGGGGCTTTGGCCTACAGCTTTATACGACTAGATGAGCACTCGTTATCGTCACAGAAGGACAGCCAGAAGTCACCCTCCCTCAAGATGCGTCGCGTGCAGAGCCAGGACATGGCGAGTCCCACTAATGATGCTTTTGAATCCGGCGTTTAGTTGTCTGATGGGGTGATCTCATTGTGCCTTTCCTCCTTTATGTAATAAGAAGGTTAGTTGTAGTTTATGCTAGCGGATGATATGGTCATCTCTCTTGTACCGCTATGGCACTGATTTAAGACAAGTCATGTCTCGTAGCTGTTGGATACTACTCTTAGCAGATGATAATTTTCTCCCTATGAATCAGTATGTTCTTCGTATTAGCTGCGGTCTTCTATTCTTTTTCTGATTTGATTCCTTGTCTCTGCTCAATGGTATTTCATGCTACAAATATTCTCCGCTTCCAAGTGGACTTACCAAAGAATTGGAATTCGCAACTTCGTCTACTTAGCACAAGAACACACCTGTGATTATGTAGCCCATTAGCTATGTAATAATGGAAGCTTTTCAATCAGAGATTAAGGTTAGAGTTGGATGAATGCAGCAGGAACATGTGTCTTGGAATCAAATCAACCCTGGAACGAAGTGTTCGATTAAAATGGCCATATCACAGGTCAATACATAAGCAAGGAGCCTCAATCCCACCTCTCAATCTCATCTTTCCAACTCCACATGGTTGCTCACTCCACACTAACCTCCCATGGATCTCGGATCTCAAAATTTAAGGCCACCAAAGTAGCGTATGTTGGAGAACTTGATCCACTTGGAACCTTGGATCAAGGACTCCACCGTGTACTTCTGTGCCTCGGTCCTGCCGATAACATGGTATCCAGGCCAGTTCACCCTGCCGCTGGTTCCGGCACCGGGCCCACGGTTGTTGTACTCGGCGTAGTACAACGTGTCAAGGAAATTTGCTCCGTCCCACGGCATCCAACCCTCAGGCTGGATCAGGTCTCCGATGGTAGATTCCATGACGATGGTCCTCGAGTATGCCTTCCATGGCCGGCCAAGGTAGTTGCGGAACTTCAACCTCTCCGGGAACAAGGACTTGTCCGGGACGATGCGGCAGTTCTGGATCACCAGCGCGGTGGTCTCCTTCGCCTGAGATCGCCCATGAGCCGTTAAGATGTTCTGCTGGTTGTCCATCGGGCGTCGCATCACCAGGAGGCAGTTCTGAAGGATGGTGGAGGAGTCGCCGAAGATGAAGTCAATCGTCCCGGAGACGACGCAGTTGCGGTAGAATTGTCGGTGGGCCTGCACGTATAAGGTGTCTTGGTACGCATCCATCCTGCAGTTGAAGAAGGCTGACATGTCCGACTGCACGCGGAGCGCCACAGCTTGGTGCTTCTCTGCTCCGGCCGTGTTGCTGAACCCCATTGACTTGGCGATAAAGCCTTGTCCGAGGGCAGCTGGGGAATGCCAGTAACATGAGCTTTCCTTCTGCTCTATACTATTGCAGTAGTGCAGTAGTAAAGTAGAAGCATATATAACATGGGAAAGTAAGGAAAGCACAAACCGAAGGTCGCGGTATCAACAGTTTGCACGCCATCGACGTAGTTCTTGCTCCCGGTCACGACTGTCTTCCTTGATCCATCACCGTACATGAGGACGTTCACCTTATCCTTGCCAACGATGACATTCTCCTTGTAGACCCCAGCCTTCACGTAGATCACGTACCGCCCAGAGTAATCCTTTGGCATGGCATTAACGGCATCGTTGATCGTCTTGAACTTTCCACTCCCATCCTTAGCAACCACCACATTAGGGGTCAGCTGGCCTCGCGCTTGGGCAGCCAGGAGCTTCCTGTCATGGCCCGAGAACCACGAAGGGTACCCTTGCTCATCGACCAGTAAGCGTCGACTGCCCATGGTTATGTTAATCGGGATCTTGAAGGACTTTAATAATGAACTAAGCTCATCGACAATGGCAATGGCATTGCTGGTGACCTTTGTGGCCGTGCTTAGACCGTCCTTCATGGTGGACTGGAGCTCCGGTTCGGTGATGCCATCGAGACAGGTCTGCTGGTAGGAGATGACGGCCGAGAGCCATGTCTTGATGTCATCGGTCCTCCTCGCCAGACCCTGAAGGTCATGAGTCTCCGAGAAGGCAGCATTGAGCTCCTCATCGGCATCCTCGAGGAGCTGCCGGCAAATGTTGAACGCAGCCTTGTTCATCGGGTCATTCGCCTTCAAACTTACGTTGTTGGACAGGTGGAAGGCAGCTTGGATTTCGTCAATGGCCGCCTGAAAAGAAGCTTGGATGACTTCCTTGGGGGAGGAAGAGCCATTGATGGCAGAACCAATGGTGCGTTCACAGTCGGCTTGGTAGTCAGTTTTGGCGCAGAAGGCCGAGACGGACTTGGACGTGGTGGTAAGTGAACCATCACCCTCAGAAGCATCGGTCTTATGATTCGAACTCACAACAGTAGCTACCACTCCGATCACCGCGGCCACGAGGAGGACCGCCGAGACAGCACCGAAGATGGCCTTCGACATCTTCTCTTTTATTCTTTTATTCCGAGATATGCCTGTGCATCAAATTGGCGATACAAAGGAGTGAAAGGAGGATGTTTATTTTGGAGCCCTGGCTCCTGATGTGATAGGCCGATTACGGATGAAGGGAGGGGGGTGTTTATATAGGGAGGGAGGGAAGGAGGGGGGGGGGGGGGGAAGAGAATGGATAAAGCAAGCAAACCAGAGGCCATGCATGGGTTCCATTTCCTTGTGACTTGGTCCTGTTTGAAACAAGATGTGGACGATCGTTTCCCATTTCCTTGTGACTCGGTCCTCTTTGTAACAAGATGTCGATCTGTACTTTTGTTTAGCCATTTTAATCGCCTATATTTTTGGCTCCTGAAGAAGTCTTCTCCTAACTCTGAGGGAAAGCTTTAGACCATTCATGAATTACAATTGCAAATTAAGTCCAAGCATAAGCATTATAGAAATTTAATTTGCACTATCCTTGCATTTGTTGGAGCTTCATTATTAGGTTGAACCTTTGGTTAGCACTGTTACAAATGATATGTCCATCCACAAAACTATTGTATGATGCATGTCAAGTAATTTTTTCACCATATAAAGTCATTGTCAAACCGATTCTAATATAACTAGTCTTTTAATTTCACTGAATCTAAATCGACTAAAAATACTTAGTCGAAGTTAATAGTCGTACACTCATTAAACACTTACAAATTAATTTTAATTTTAATTTACTTTTGATGTGAGATTAATTGTGATACTATATTTTTTTCATCGGGTGTTGTTAATTCACCTTAAAAATAATAATATATAATTTAATATAGAAAAATAAGAAAAATTAAAATGAAAGAAAGGAGTTATTTGTAGAGGAAAAAACTTTATCAATCCCAATTATATACTCATTTATGAGTTATAGATCCCATGAACCCCCTAAATATCAAAAATTAAGTGATATGGGACCCATAAAGTAGCTATGAATTCTTGACTTTTTTTGTGCCCTTTTAGATAAGTTTTTGAGCTAGGAGTTGTGCCATTTGTGTTAAGAAAAAGATTTTGAGATCATTCGGGTCAAAAGATAAATATAGTCATCTTTATGGATGAAATAATGATGTTTTACCATTATTGGGCTAAATGATCTATCTATGATCTTTAGGATTATTGCCAACTTCAGATGGATTCGGGATCAACTTGGGAAAATTAGGATATATTTCATTAACTCAAATCCCATGCAAACCGGGAAACCAGTATTCAATCAGGAAACTGTTGAATTCAGTTCTTTTCATTAACTGATGATTTGGTATGCTGATTCCAATACAGTTTTCAATGTGAATTAGTTCAGAACCAATCACACTTCTGCAAAATCATAACATAATTGAGATTTGGAATGATCAGATTATATAAAAAGCGAGCTTTACAGACAACCAAAATTGTAAAACAATTATAACATTAAACATAGAGATTGTTGTAATAAGTTTGATTTGCAACATCAGATACTCAAATTCCAACACCTAGTGAGTTTCCTTAAATAATTCCTAAATTATAAAATTGAAATTTGGAATAAAAATATAAATAACAAGATGTCCATAAATAACTAAAGGTGCATACATTGTGGAGGATGAGGTTGTTGAGTGGAAGGATAGATTGATGAGTCGAATAAATCAGAAGTTCATATGATGAGTCGAATATATCTTTGTGCTGAAGGGTTAGTCACACACACAAAGGATTGAATGTCGAGTCATTAGGCTAAAATATATTATTATTGGGTTGGAACCAAAAGGCTTTTGGATTTTGTACTAAGCTAATATAGGCTCAAGCGATGATACTGCTAGGGCAAGTAGTGACAGTTAGGCCAAGTAGTGGCACCACTCAAGTCGACAGTGATACTGCCTAATATGACAATGGTAAAGAGTATCTTACCCCCTTTATTCTTATAGGTTTTTAGGATCTCTTGCGCCTATAAATATCCTTTTTAGATTGGCAGAAAAAAAGATCCTTGAGCTCTTCAAGTGTTGAAAATCTTCTCCTAAAAACTTGCTTTGAGTTTTATTAGGCTTGCTACGTCATGGAAGGTGTCGAAACATTTGTAAAAGCTTGAGTGTTCTAAGTCTAAAACTTCTAAGTTTTGAAGAAGAAAAAGTTGTAAGTGATAATTGATATTCACATATTGGAAATAAGATAAATAGTGAAAGCTTGATGTCGACATAGGTCAGAAAATCTTCATCACTATGAATTGGTGTGTCTATCTTCTATTTGTGCACCTCACTTTCGCATACTTGTTTATATTAGTTCTCTACTTTTTTCCTTTTTTTTTTAACCTTTGAAGATTGTCAAATTTATACTAGAACTAATTCACTCACAAACTCCCCTTACTACCATTACTGATATCAACACCGACTTCTCTAAATTGATTGTTTCTTCAACTTGGTCGTGTCTCTCAAATATTTCATAACTTCAACTCGGTCACATCTTCTAGTCGATTGTGACTTTCTATCGTTTATATCTTTTGAGACGATCACATCCTTAAGTCCATCACATATTTAAGCCGATCATATCTAAGTTCGATATGTCTTCAAGTCGACTATACGTTCGGCTCGTCTTCAAGTTAACTTAATCTTAGAATCGACCGAACCCAATGCATCATAATAAGATAAAACAGTTCTCAAATCACCTAGAGAGAATGACAAACCATTGCAAGATTCTAATTCTTAAACATGACAACTCTGGAGAAGTGGACCGGGTTGAATCAACTCAATGAATATAAGATGTTTTCACCCATGTTCGGGTGATGTTCACACTATATAAGATATGTTCATACTATCATACTCAATTTGTCTGATTTACTCAATATATTGTTCATGCTAGTTGGTATAACACAAAGAAACCCATCCAAAAACATTCTGAATTCAAAATTGTCAACTTGGATTTACATGTTTCTAAAGACAAATTAAATTAGATCGATCAATCCAGTCTCTAATCTACTTATCTATATTTTCAATGACCTGATCATCTTTCAACTTACAATATTTGAAGAGACCTTAATCAAAGTCTCTCTCTTGATGCCTCAATGAATTCTCCAAAATTTGAGTTATAAAGCCACAGTATAGTTTTTCATTTTTGCAACCCAGCATTTTGGTCATCCATTTCTCGGATTCGATATGTTATGCAAGTTTTCATTTCAATTCTATGCTATAATTTCTGAGGTAAGTTTGAAGATATATGTATCTTTTTTTACCTGTAGCACTAGGATAACCAGAGTTAAATGAAACAGTAGCTATTTGACACATAAATTGCTAAGAGTCGAAATAATTCCAATGATGATTGCCAGTGGTTTTTCCAAATAAAATGGCATGATAATAAGTATATAGAGACAAGATAGATCTCATCATTTCTTTCCTGTTACTAATCTCACCAAATAAGACTCCAAGGGTAGTGTAGTCATTGGAATAATTAATGATGTGTGGTAAGAACATACAGAAATCTATCAAAAACACATACTTTTGAGAGGAGCAAAAGGCATCCACTGCTTCTGAGCAGAACGGGTCAGTGATCCATATGTGTCTTTATGTTGCCACCCCATACAGCAAAACCAATTGCAATGTGTTGTATCTATGATTTGATAATTGAAGCAGGACCATATCATTTCCCTTCTATCTTCTAACTTCGATCAAACAGATGCAAATTCAGAAAATAAAGAGAAACTTCTTTTTGTTCCAAGTACAGCACAAAAAACATTAACCTTTGGTACAATGATAAAGTTGGTAATATTGGTAGGCCTTAGTACAATAATGATGTTGTTCCTTTACAATCGGAGAGATTAGGGAATACAAATTGATAACCACCTCACAACACCGTCACACTGGGTAGAACTTTACGTAGATTAAAAGGGACTTCACTTATTTGTTAAGCAGTAGAATTTGCCATCATGATACGTGACATCCCCGTAAAAATGATCCTTTAATGATATTATCCTATTAGATTATGTGATCCTATCTAATTAGGTAAAATGTATAATGAGTATGATTAGATTTTAATTATGATTATTGTTCAATAAAAAGGAAGTCTAATTATGATAGGATTCCTTAAAGGATGATATTGATGGGAGGGACTCTCCTAATTATTTATCCTAAATCCTCTGTTCTCACCTATAAAAGAACATGACTTTATAGGGATGAGTACAACCAATACAACTAGTTATTGATATTACTGATATATTCTCAATCTCTTTTAATATTTAAATCCATCACTCATAGCAGTCTTATGAAGGATAGGAGGAGAGAAAAAGACGAGTCTAGTTCTCCTTATAGATCGACATCGTTATAACTTTCGGATTTAATGATGGTGCACCCATAAATCAGATAAAAACTTTCTAAATGATATTGAAAGGTATACATTGTAAATTTAATATATTATTATTTAATTTTAAATTTTAACATTAAGGTTTTTCATATAATAGTAGCATAATGATGGTTTTTATACTCACGATGGGTATCAAAGCCATGTTTGTAAAATCAAATACTTTAGATCCATTTGTTAATATATTTTGCTTGTAAAAAGGTGTTATTTGATTTTTATTTACAATGCATGAACAAATCACCTATAGTGTTGATTTGTTGTTCTATCTAGTTTGTCTTATCATCTGCTTCTATGCAATGTGAGGTTCCTTGTGCTTGATTGATGGACCACGATTAACAGTTTACTATCGATAACAGTATCATTAAGGAATCACTAGTAGTAGCTGTGTACCCAGTGGAAGCACAATGGGGTGTGATGACTATAGCAGTACCACTACGTTTGGTGCCTACAACAGTTTCGCTACCAGTGGCGGTTGCAGCAATACCACTATGGCAGAGCTTGCTGGTTGTGACTAATATCAATTGAATGCTGAAGGTCATGGTTCCCAATGTCTGTACAACAGGATGTGCTGGTATAATCGCGTACCATGATGACTATGGGGGTTGTCGGTCAGCGCGTGTGCATGGCTACGCGGTGGGACGATTCATTGGCGATGCTTGGTTAGCAGTGCACCACGGAGGCATTCTGTCGGCGTGGTCTTCGATCGACTACATGAGGACAGTCGCCCCATTACAGGCATGGGTGGTAGGTATCACGT